AAGTCAGTTGGAACGTCGAAATATACTTTATATCGGTACTAAAGAAAGGTCTCAACTATTTCCATTCATTCTTGACATAAGTAAAGTATACTCGAAAACATATTTTCAAGCAATTTTACGAAGAAAACTCACAGACCTAGCGACATATTCGGCATAAAATGTAATAGAATGACACTATTCATTACACCGTCACCTAAGATTAAAAGTAACATAACGCTTTTCATTAGTTTACAAGTGAAGGAAAAACGATATAATAGAAATAGGTGTGTTGTTTATACACCCAACTCTTTTTTTACACGGTAGATACGTTCCTCAGAAATCGGTGTAAAAAAAGAGGCGTTTCTTATATACTTCGTTAACTATATAACTTCGAAAAACCGTGTATAAAATGTTGAAAACTATAAAATTTCAGATATGCATACAAATTGCATGTTCATTTAACATTTAATTGAGCATTACACCTTAAAATACATAATTCATACTGGTGAAAAATTGGTAGATTAAACAAACAAAAAAAAAAAAAAAGTCTGTTAATTCAAAATTAAATAATTATTCGTAGCTACTTGATAACAAGCGCAATTCTTTGCGACAAACTGGACTAAAGTCGGTATCATCACTGGGGATATCCATTTCAGCAATGTACATAAATATCATGCGAACAAAATGTGTAAGTAAGAGTTATCGAAATAGTCTCCTTCTGCTTCCATACAACTCTTTGCACGGCACAAAAGCATGTCCAACGAGTGTTTTAGGTCGTTGGTCGAAAAGGCCGCCAATATGCTGGTTCAAGCGTTTGAATGGCCTCAACGTCGGCATAACGCTTTCCTTTCATTGGCAAATGCATTTTTCCGAAAAGGAAGAAGCCGCACGTTAATGGTTAAAATGTGATTTTTGGTCAAATAATCGGTCACAATCGTCTACCGATGAGATGGCGTATTTTATTGGGCATCAAACGCTAACTTTCATTTTCGCGATATTCGAGCCAAACACGTCGAATAGGCCAAAATATTCGGTCAAAATGCTATAAATCGATGTTTTGGAAATGTTCCATTGCATTTCCATGAATTTCAATGGTGATTTCGAGCGGTTTTTGATGAATTATCGCACAGTTTCGATGGACGTTCCGGTGATCACGGATTTTGACTGGCCCACATGTTGATCGTCATTTATGTACTCACGACCACTTTGCAAACGTTGAAACCACTCGTGCACTCTGCTACGGGATAGGCAATCTTTTTTCATCAATTGAAACGTTTCGGTAAAAATTTTACCAACTTTAATGTTGGCTCTTTGTTCGAAGTTCATTTTCGCACCGATAACACAAACATACTGAGACTTAAAACGCAATAACTTCACTTCTAATCGATTAAGCGTCATGAAATTCTCACTGGACGATAAAAATAGCAGATTTTAAGGCMCCAGTCGATAGATGGCGCCACCAAGGGGCGATAAATTCAAAAAGTCCTGATTACTTTGGAATAAACCTTGTATGTATATCTATGAAATTGAAACTTGTATTTAAAAATCCAATAGTCGAACTAAAGATTGAGTATGAAGTTTTATCGAAAATGAAGAAGTTTAATGATCTGAAGATTAAAGTTTTTGTGAAGCTTCATGGGTTCCGCAGTCATGGCCAGATGAAGCAGCACAATTAATGTTCGCCATTTCTTTGAATTGCCCTTAATGTAGATAACTCATTCTGTCAACAGTCACGCGAGATTGTTGAGGCCATTGATATCAATATCATCGGCATACGCCAGCGGCTGTACACTCTTATAAAAGATTGTACCTGCTCGATTAAGTTCTGCAGCATGAATTATTTTCTCCAGCAGCAGGAGTCGCCCTGTCTGAACCCTCATTTGGTACCGAACGGCTCGGACAGGTCCTTTCCTGACGAAGCTTTTGGTGTTGCTCAACGTTAGTTTACACAGCCGTATTAGTTTGTAGGGATTGAAGTCAACGAAGAGGTGTGTTGTGTCGATTCTCCTTTCACGGGTCTTTTCCAAGATTTGGGGCATGGTGAATATCTGGTCGGTTGTTGATTTGCAGGTCTAAAGCCACACTGATAAGATCAAATCAGTTTGTCGACGGTAGGATTTAATCTTTTACACAATACGCTCGATAGAACCTTATACGCGATGTTGAGGAGGCTTATCTCACGGTAGTTGTCGCATATCGTGGGTCTCCTTTTTTAAGAATTGGGCATAGCACACTTAAATTCCAATCGTTGGGYATGCTTTCGTCCGACCATATTTTACAAAGAATCTGATGCATGCTCCTTATCAGTTCTTCGCCGCCGTGTTTGAATAGCTTGGCCGACAATCCATCGCCCCCGCCGCTTTGTTGTTCTTCAGGCAGGTAATTGCTAATCGAACTTCTTCATGGTCGGGCAAAGGAACGTCTGCTCCAAAATTTTAGTTTCTTATATTATGCAAATATGGCAAAGTATTTACTCGATTTTATAAATTTTTGGTATCACGGCATGTTATTATAAGATAAAGAGTATCAATGAGTTTCATTAAGAACCCTTACATATTGTCCGATTACATTAGGTACTTGGGATCTAGGGAAGTATACATCCCATCTTATGTATTTTAGGCACAAAGATACATTGAATTTCAGTAAGGAACTGATTCATGTAGTTTAAGGAAAACTGGAAGTTCGAAAATCTTTAAATTAAGTGTATGAAACAAGTTAAAGTGTTGACAAAACTTTTTTGGCAAACTTTTATGCTGATAGTTGTACACTTTCTTGATTAACATATTCTAAATTAAAAAAATAAAAAAGACCGGAAGAAATTTAAAGTTACCATCTAATGGAAGTAAATGGCTTTTTCTAGGACGCCACATTTTAATATAATAAAATCTCAGAATAATGTTAGGCACCAAATTTGGGTGAAGTTGGCCAAGTAGTTCCTGAGTTATAGGATTTTACCTAAAAAGAACGGTGCAAAGCCTTTTTTTAAATTTTTACACTGCCTCATATGCATAAGTGTTCTTGAGTGTGAAATTTAATGATTCTGCTATTTTGTGAGTTATGTACTTTTAGGAGTTTTTAACAGAAACGTTCATATGGCCGTGTGATACTGAAAAGCGTGACTTCATCGTTTTTTGTTGATACATCCTTAGTGAATTTTGAGATATATAGTACATATATTCAACTATAAACGAGATGGGTCGCGACGTGTACGAAATTAGAGCTATGTATTAGAACTGTTTTATTCAGGAACCGAATTCACACATTTTCAACACAAAACTATAGTACCTATATTAAAGATTACATGATCTAATAAATTTGCTAAGATATGAAAATATTTGACTTCCTTGCTAACTGCGAGAGTATAAAATGTTTGGTTACACCCGAACTTAGCCCTCCCTTAGTTGAGTAATACTTTGTTTAAGAATTCAATCAAACTTAATTAAATTTTTAGACGTTTAAACAAAAAAAATTAAACCCTCTGGGATCTGAAATGAGCACTAAAACTTTTCATTTCTAAAGTCTTTGTTTAGTTCCAAAAAATTGTATGTAAATTAAAATTTCTGTACATACACATACATATAATGAATATAAGCATCAGTATCAGTATTACCCCTAAAAATATGAATAAAAACTCTCCTTGAATATAAAGGGGAGGGTGCCAACAATTTTTATAAAACGGTCTTACGTTCCTACATGTTGCAGACAGTTAAAATATAATTTTTCGACCTACATCCTGCCTTAGCTATATGTCATATATACCGATTCTCTTTATAGAAATAAATTTAAAAAAATTACGTCTGTTTCTAACTTCCGTCATTAGAATTTTTCTGCTACTGCTAAAAACCATGTCATTAAGCACGTCTTTCAATTTTGCAATCATAAAAAAATTTATAATCCAATAGTAAGAAAATAATATATATTTATTATGGAATATTTTATGTTACTAAAAGTCCATACATTATTCTCGGCGTATTACAGAAGCAAAACATTTCCATAATGCCTTATGGAAAGCATATAATACACATTTGTACTCATCATATTCAATTTCATTGGTATTTTCATATATTTCCATTGCATCACTGCGAATTGCACTTATTTGGCTATTTCACTTACAGTATATATATATGAATATGTATATGTAAAGTATACATATAGTTATACAATATGGGTTAATTTGTATACAACAATAATATGAATATAACTTATTTTTTGCACATAAAATATTTTTAAAATTTACTATTCTTATTCTTGTAATTTTCCTTTAATTAATATTAATTTGTACGCATTTTTTATAAAATAATAATAATTCACGAGCAAAATCAGGATCATCAGGCAGTAACACGACAAGAAACACGCACAACTAAATTCAGACTAAACTTAAAAACTTGTGTGTGATAGCCAATAAGAGCATACGTCAATGGAGAAGGAGACAAGCGAAAATTACAGACAGCTCAGCTCACTGGACTTATGCTGCCACTTTTTTAAAATGGTTTAAAAACTAAATAAATAATTTCATTAACAATTTATGCGAAATATTTTTTAATTACAGATCATTTTGACATATTTAAAATTTTTCAAAATGTAATAATACTAATTACATTACTAATAACTCAATTATAATGTACGAGTATCGATTAATTCCAACCTTGTAATTTCTCCATATTCAATTAACCTAAGCCCATCATTCTTTATAAAATGAATGAAATTCATTCAAGAAAAAAATTCGATTTTCGCTAGCAGAATTAAAAAAAAACTGAGAAATAAAAATATTACTATGTTTGTTTTGAAAACTGCAGCATTTGTGTTGTATTCCGAATGCATGCGGCAACGCAAAAACTTAGAAGAACAGAGCGAGCTTAAGAATAAAGTACCCTCGTTGAATTCATCGCCGAGTGTAATTTTAGTTATATATGTATTATATATATGTACATGTATAATATATAGTGGAATATAAACCATGTGCAGGATAGCATTGTGAGTGGGATTATTTTATTTCTCAGTACGGGTTTGTCGTGGTTAATCGTTACCTGTTAATTTGTATAGTTCACGGGCAGTAAATTCACATATATAATTAAGAACGTAGTATGTGTTAACATATAGTCGTAAAAATTTTCAAATGTAACGCAGCTAGCTTAAAAATTAGAAATAGCTATATTTAATCTAATAAATCATAAAAACAACCGACCAATATTAACTGCTATATTTTCGAAATGTTTGTTTTTGAATTGGTATGAAGCGGCAAGATTTCAGGATGAAAAGTAGTTCAGATGCTTACATTTATGTGTATATAAAGTTTGATACGAAGTATACATGAATGTGAATGTATGTGTGTTGTATTTATCGAAAGTCAGGTGGTGCCTCAAAAAAACTGTGGCCTAATTAAAATGGCAATGAAAATATTGTTTCTCATTTTTATGTAAGTTTTCATGAATTAAACTCATACACATGCATCTGTTCATATATATACATACATATATGTTTATCTTCATATAAGTTTAAACATGCCTGAACATTCTGCACCCAAGGATTTTTACTATAATATTATGTGCTTCCTTACGTGAGTTGCGCTTACATATATATAGAGCTAAGTTTGCTTTATTTTCAGAAATAACGAAGATACATATTTTGTTTTACAACGATATGGGTGGAAATGTAAATATATTTTTCATGCATTAAATTTCTAGCAACCCGTATTATTTTATTTATAGAGAGTATTGTTGATGAAATTATAATCACCGAAAGAAATTTTTGTTTTTTGAGGTTGGATACGTGCTGTGTAAAAGTAAGAACTTCGTATTAAGGGTAAATGTGTCACTATAACCAGCCTTAATAACTCAAATAATAGGCTGTGTTTGACAATATTATCTTTAAGTTCGAATTTTTTAGATTATTTGAAAATGTCATGTTCACGTGATGGCACAGTTCATAATCATTATGGGAAGACTGTGATTATTTCACAGCTGTCATGTCATACACTCGCGGCCGCGAAAATTTTACCACTCAAAATTTTCAAGTATTGTGCATATTTGACAACATTTTATGGCTGTCCTTTTTGCTATATAGAAATTTTTTATTTAGAAATAGATTAATGTTATTATTAATATTATT